TAATTCATGCTCTGCATAGAGGTTCTCCACAGACCATACGAGAATATTCTAAGAATTTACTTAACTTGTAAAATGTAATCACGCTTCCTGCTGGAAAAAAGTCATGCATAATGTGGTTATCGTCCAGCTTCGCAGACCAGCAGTAAGCAAAACTAATGTCGTTTATCAAAGTCCTGTGATACCAATTGCTGAATATCAAGCTCCTGTGAAGTCAATTTTAATGTCTGTTAATGTAAGACAGCTACTGTACAGCATTCAGGTTCGTTGCTCAAGCTGCGCAATTAGTTCTGTGGACTGTAGCTTATATTCTGGCGCAGGATATCCAAACAGGTGGCTGCAATGACTGGGTTGTTTTAAGCGATTTTGTTTGAGGTAACGCTCCACCACGGAAACATGCCTTTCTACTTTTGGGAGCCATATTGTTTACTCATTTTATTCACTGCTTACTGTGTACTGTGCGTACGAGTTTCGCCAAAATGGCCCTAGCCTCTTAAAACATGAAGTTAATAACATTCTTATCATTGGGGTTTAGTTTAGAAAATCAGCCTGCACTACAAGAAAAAAAAAATACAGTTCAGCCTTGGGTGGGCTCTACAGCGGTAATTAGCCTAATGCTACACACTAATATTGTGGAAAATGGGACTCTAAGATAAGTATTCTAAAATGAATTGGAGTCATATTTAAGAATGTTTGAAACCAAGAAAGAAAACTGGAGTAGAAATGCAATAGGGGCACAATTGTGAATTGTGCCGGAGATATTTCATGTTCTGATGAAAAACAGAACAAAAACAGAAGGAGGGAGTGCCGAAAGGAAAACAAGCCTTGCAAATTACAAATATATTATTTTTTCCTGATGTCCATATATACATAGATCTAGTACCTGTACTTAAAGTATGAATTCTGATTTGCTTCATTCCGGAATTTTTCAAGGGGTAGAATTTTTGGAAAATGATGAATATTCAATTCAATTCATATTTATTTATGTGCTAACTTAACACAGAGGGAAATTAAAGAGTGAGCACGAGTAAAGAAAAGGAAACAAAATATACGCTACCAATGTACAGAAATGAGTGTAATTTGTTTCATTTGAATATTAATAATAANAACCAAGTTATATATTATGACATGAAGCCTGAAACGCGAAACAGCGAAACCGAAGGGGGGGTTCATTGCTAGCCAGCGGTTCGCCAAACACATTATCCCGCTGCAATGAATAGATACGGAATAATCAATTGCTGGGCAACAGTTCGGTAAGCACGTTTCATGGTATTGTTATTATTTATTGCTAGTGGGGTGGAACTAAGTCCCTAGTACTGCGGCCACTTCTGGTCTATTTTACCAGTCCCAGATGATAGGTGAGGGTGACTGTGGAGCAATTGGTGGAATGAAGATTGGCAGGGGAAACCGAAGTACTTGGAGAAAACCTGCCCCAGCGCAACTTTGTCCACCAGAAATCCCACTTGACCAGACCCGGGATCGAACCCGGGCCGCCGCGGTGGGAAGCCAGCGACTAACTATGGCGCGGCCTTGACGTTTCATGGTAACGGAGAAACAGAATAACACGAACTGTTCGACGTGGTTATCTCTCGTCGGTTCGCCCCGAGTTTTAAATTAGGGATAATTCGTAAATTAATTGATTCGTTCAGTTAGTTCTATGATTCAGTTGTAAGAGGATTCAGAAGCTGAGCGCTCAGCTGTGTAGTGTTAGCCAGCGGGCAAAGGAAGCTGAAGAAGTGATCGATTCGTAAATCAGAGCCAAGTCAACNTAATTCGTAAATTAATTGATTCGTTCAGTTAGTTCTATGATTCAGTCGTAAGAGGATTCAGAAGCTGAGCGCTCAGCTGTGCAGTGTTAGCCAGCGGCAAAGGAAGCTGAAGAAGTGACCGATTCGTAAATCAGAGCCAAGTCAGTCACGCAGAAGAGAAGACACTCGGTTTGCAGTAAGGAATGGAGCGAGACTTAGACAATCATTGATTGTGAGTCGTGGTAATTAATTGTAAATGTAAAGAAGTGTCAATCCAATCATCCCATTCAGAACCAATTATTATTCTTCACGCAGTCCCTCATACATGACAGTATTCTTGCGCTTACGAATCAGCCAAAAGCAAATTACTCGTATGAAATAAGTAGAGATAAAGATGAAATCATTACACACACACGCGGACAAACCAAGTCAGACTGAACAATAATAAAAATTCAGTACAATCGTGTCAGACATTATGTGGGTAAATAATTTATTTATATATACAGTTTCGTGTGGTATATAATTAATATATTAATATGAAGAACGCACTATTATATATTATCATTAAGGAAACAGTTGTTGGCTTCAAACAGGTTAACGTCACTACAAAAAAACATTAGCAGCTGAAGCGCATCTATCAGAGGGACAGTTTACTTGAATAGCAGCCATTGGAACAGAGCTGCGTGTGTGATGTACCGAGAAGAAATTCGAAGACCAGCAGTTTCCAAAACTGAGGGACGGAATTTAAAGCCAAGACAAATAACCAACTATTAACTAACCAATTATCTCCATGGAGCTGACTCCATTTAGAAGCAGCCATTCGCTCAGCTACTCATGAGCTTTCAAATATTTTATTTAACCCGACGAATTATTACCGTGTTCACAAGATCCCTATATAAGCCAGACAAATCAAGTCCATACAACTCCATCCTCATTGTTTAAGGTCCATCACATTATTCTCCCACCTTCATCTTGATCTCCCTACTGGTCTCTCTCCTTCTGGCTTTCCAACCAACATCCTATATGTATATGCATTAAACTTTTGCCCATGCGTTCTACTTTCCCTACCCTTTTCATCCTCGTTCACTTGATAATTCTAATGATGTTTGGAGAAGAGTGGAAGTTACGAAGCTCTTCATTATGCAATTTTCTCCAACTTCCTGCCACTTTCTTCCTTTATGGTCCATATATTCTCCTCAGTATGATTTTCCCTATTATCCTTAGTCAGTGTTCCCCCATTAATATCAGGGACCAAGTTTCCTACCCACAGAACTACAGGCAAAATTATATTTTTTTTTTTACATTCCGACTCTTCCGTTTTTATACAGCAGACGAGGAGGCAAAATTTTCTGGACTGAACAGTTGCAAGCATTACCTGAATTCAATGTGCATTTGACTTCCTCCAGAATCAGGTTTTGATTTCTTATTTCGTTCCCAAATATTTGAGCTGTGCCACATTTTCAAAGGATCAATTGGCTCTCCTTAGGGTATGATTTTGCCACGCATTCCGGTGACAAGACAGCAACATACAGGTATACTCGATCCCGTGTGTGTTCACTTCTAGAACCACATCCTTAATAAAGCCACTTGCGAGTTCCTCTGTTTTCCTGTAAGGTATTTATATTATCGCCCAGTAGATTCACATCATCAGCACAGACTAGCAGCTGATGTATCCCATTTAATTTCAGTCCCATCTGGTTTTTCTGGACCTTCCTAACGGCATATTCAGCAGCAAAGTTGAAAGGCATTGGCAATGAAGCATCTCTTTGCTTTAGACCATTGTGAGTATTGANTTGAAAGGCATTGGCAATAAAGCATCTCTTTGCTTTAGACCATTGTGAGTATTGTTAGTTCTTCGGCACTCTAGCCGTGGTAGGGGGGTCATACCATCTCTCGCGAAGCTGGGAGAGCAGTCTTATCAGTATACGTCAGTGTGGGTACTACCAGTTTGGAATGAAGTGTCTTGGAGTGTGGTCAGGTGCATAGTACGTTGTGTATCTACTCCTGGCCTCCGTAGGTAATGTTTTCCGCTCGGGGAGTACCTCTGAACCTCACCACAGTAAGCGTACAGCTTCGCGTGCTCCACAACAGCGTTTACCTTTCCGCGCGGCTAAAATTACGAGGCACTAACTATAGGAATTGTATCAGATAGTTGCTTATGTGTACTTAGTTTTCTATACTTTATAATGTCTCATTGTACTTGCATCCCGCCCCCGTATCTGATGAATGCAAAGATCTGATCTGTAGTTGATGTATTACGTCGGAAACCAAAATGATGGCCCCAAATTTAGAGCCAAGAAAAATTTGATAAAGAACCGACCATCGAGTTGAAACATCCTCTCACGTAAGGTGTACAATAATAATAATAATTACTACAACAAAAATAACCGCTTAAGAGACGATTGTTAAAATTCTGGAAGGGCATTCTGTGTATGAGCTGCGGCTAAGGTTACCTGAAGCAACAGCAACAACTGCTCTGTTAGCATGCTGCAGTAGTTTGTATGCAAGGATGGTTAATTAGTTTTTAGTTTATTTAACGATCCTTTTATTAATGCAGGCTATATGTTTAGTGCCGAACGTTTTGATGTTAGTGGAGTAAAGAGAGCGATAGGAAGACAGCTGTCTTGACTTAATCTGAGGTACTGTTCTGGCATTTGCTTGGCGGGTCTGAGAAAAAACATGAACGTCGTTATTCAGAATAGTCTTTGACTCGACCGAGATTCGAACTCGATGTCTCGTGATTACAGGATAGAATGGTTACCACATAGGAACAAGCATACTTGCAAGACAAATGATGGCTATATAATAGACGAGAGACGTACACGCATGAGGAAGGCAGAAAATGGGACAGTGAAAATTGTTCAAATTTTCTAGTCGTAGTGGCAGTAGTAATTCAGTTGAAACCAATTCTGATTTATTTGGTTGCTAATTCAACAGTTCAAGGGCAAATAACGATAACATTTTTTATAAATCAATTAAATTTCTTTTTTCAAGCGGTTTCCAACAGCGAGCGGTCTATAACAGGGGAGCACTGAAAGTGGATATAATACAATCTAGACTTAGGCTAGAATTTAAAATATATGAAGAAAATGGAAGATAAATAAGATATAATAATAGGAAAGCAATGGGAGCAAAAAATTAATTGTGACTAAATGGTGAATACGTTATTAAGGTATTTTCAATCGCTGAACTTGGCCAGGTGAAGAGTTAGCACCCCGTGAATGCATGCAGCAAGCAACACATTATGCCACTTACCGATTGTGGTGATAACTGTGAGGGAGTAGAGGAAAGCACCTGAGAAGGGCCACTTGTGGGTCTGATTCACGTAGTCAGTTCCGTCATAGCCATCCTGGATAGCCAGCACAATCAGCTCCTGGTATTCCCGCAGCTCTGTTGACACATTTTCCCTCCAGTTCTCCTGAACAAAAAGCGAAAGTTACTACTGAAAATTTCGTTTCCGCAACTGTACAAGACTTCTGAACTTGAATATTCCGTAAAATTAAAAGTAAAATAAACTTCTAGTAGTGAAAGATGTTAAAAGAGTAATATATTTGCTTGTTACATTGTTCAATCTTGCCACATACTTCATACAATCTATCAAACTGTTTGTTAAAATTTGATGGGAAATTTGAGAGACAAGGATTAAAGCTAACCATTTCTGACTGACTGACTGACTGACATACTCGTACAATATTCACTTCACTCAGCCGAACATGTACTCAAACGCTTTGCCCTGGTCACTGAATCACACAGTCCCCAACGTCCAATGCTGTCGGAATCATACTGTTCCCCAGGGACTGTGTGCATCCCTAATATGCAACATGTATTCCCTGAAGACCAAACGACAATTGGTCTGAAGTTATGACCGACATACTGCTTAACCTTCCGATGGAACTGAATATTCAATAAATAAATAACGAATTTGCTAGTGCCCACTGCCAATGGACTAGCAAACTGATGAGACCCTTGGCAGGTACTTCAGTTGTTATGAGTTGATTTACAACTGCCTGAAGAAACAGAAAAGTGGATGGATGGGTGGATGAATAATAAATTAATGGATGAGTGGACAGAAGTATGTAATAATAGATAAATTAATTCATTCTGAGCTAATGGATGGATCGATGATTTATTATTTGGTTGTTTAACAAATATCCTTCGCTGCAGAATTTGTATGGCGAAGAATTAATTTACGATGGTGATTGTGATGTGCTGTTAGGGACTCGGAAGGAGATGGTCGTAGCGTGTGTTGAAGCACTATTCTCAATTTAGAGTGACGGAGGAAAACTACGAAGATCCTCCGACAGATTAGCTGGAAGCACATCCAGATTCGAACCACATACCTTCGAACTAAACTAAAGCAGCTTTCCCAAACTGAATTCTGACGCCGAACATTTTCTAGCTCGAAAAAAATTGTAGAACACTTATTATGAAGCCAGAAAACAGAGCAGAGCTATTGTTAAACAAGGATACGAGCTCAACATATTGTGACAAGCAGAGCCATTTCTAGGCAACATCTGAAATACATGCATGGAACAATAGAAAATTTAGTGCAAGAAATATTTCCTATATGGTCCGTGCCCATGCCCATAGCTAGACATTGGTCGCCAAGCATATTCCCATAGAAGCGTACCATGGAAAAATAAAACGTCCATTTCTAGGCAACGGAGACGTGAGCACCCCTAAGAACTTTTGAGAGACGATGTTTTCCTTGGGGCCTGCCTGAGGCTGTATAATGTGGAATTCCAAGTGAGCAGTCAGTCAGAATGTGAATGAGAATTAGAATTGGAGGAGTATAAAGGAGTACAACGGAGTTACTCTACGAAAAGAAGACCTCATATGTGTTGTAGTTACAGTGAGACTGTTATAAATTCATTGCCAGGATACAACTAGTGAAGACTGAGAAGACTTAGCATGTCCTAGAGATTTGTGAAGTGGGTAGATTAGAGATAGCGCTGTAACTGATTATTATTAAGACAGAAAATAAAAGAAAGTTAATAAATCCAGTCATCCAACCGAGAACCCTTTATTATTAGTCACGGAACCCCGGATACATTACAGTATTATTTAAATGTACATATTTAGTAATAAAAATCGCATATGATGAATACGATTAATGAAGCTTAAAACTACTGTGCCAAGCGTAGGCAATTTTTATTGAGAAGAGAGACTTTCCTTCCTCTCTTCAACAGTCCCTTTTGTGCTTGGCTTGACAATGGAAAAGGGAATTTTCAAATCTGGCGCCGTATGTAGTCAGTTTCTGTATCTTGTTATAATTTTGTGTATTACAATGGAATTTTCTTGCGGAACCCCTCTTTCTACTTCGCGGTACCTCCTGGTTCCACGGAACACCCTTTACGAATCACCGATGTAGAGTGTTATTAATTACTAAACGAACGTGCTAGGCACATTGATTGCTTCAGGTAAACCTACTGTAAGCCTTCATAGGCCGGTCACGGTACCTGAGCAGTCTAAGGCGTGCATTGTCTTCGCTCGCTCGGAAGCCGGGATCTTGGGTTCGAATCCCACTCAGGGCATGGATGTTTTTGAGCGTTTTTCTGTGTCTGTGTACAGGTAGAGGCCTTGCGACGAGCCGATCACTCGCCCCTACCGTATGTGTAAGATCTAGGAAAACCGAAGTGAACGGAGTTCATGGAGGTAGGCCTAGGCCCACTGGGGCTTTAGTGCCAAGGAAAAAAAAAAAAGGAAAAAGAAAGCCTTCATAGAGAATTTTAACGTAAAATATTATTGGCTTCGTTCTGGTGTTATACAGGGAGAAGCGAGCCGAACAGATTCGTGGCACTTTTAACACAGGCTGTGACACCTAGATTACCAGACATATTCTCAAAATGGGGTGGTAGTGAGGCACGGAGCAACTGCCACCATAAATGCCTTAAGCTCAGGAAGGAGTGAATACCTACCTTTATGTAAGGGGAATGGAATGAACGCTTTATACGGTTGTCTTGTCTGTCCACATATCAAAACCCATCAATGTAGGAAATAACCGTTGGTTCTAAAAATTTTGAAAATAATTTTGTAAAGGGCATGCCTACTCTTATCCAGGTTTGTTAGAAACAGCGAGTAAAGGAGGTTGATGGGCTAGGAGTATAGCACAAGAGGGATAGTGCGAAATTAATGAAATAGTGAGGGGATCTAAAGGTATTAAACCTAAATATGAGATAATTATACGAGTATAAAGATAGTTAAGGTAAAGATGTTCCTGTGCATAATTAATTAAACATGAAACCAGGATCCCGTATGGGAGAGTGGAGGTACAGCTCCACCAATTCTGACCTCGGTACTAGGTGGATTTCATTGGTCATCGTCACACCCTGCCCGCTTTAACCTTTGGAAATGAGGCTCCTGTACACACTGAATATGAGGGTGGGTGAGCCCTAGATCTTTCTGGAAAGTCTGGAGTAGAGAAAGAATTTCTTGCCGCTGCTGGGAATCGAACTTCGGCCCAGCTAGTAGCCCGTCGCTGTGTCGGCTAATGGATCTTAAGGGAATGGTATGTGAGGGTCTGGAATTGGTTTAACTTAGTCCCGAATGTTGAACACTCCTGAGAACGCACTAAAGCTCCTCCTTCTCGAGCAGCTGAGCGAAGGGTGCGTTCTGATGATGACCCTGTACCATGAATTTAGTTTTGAAAGAAGGCAAAGGATTTCGGCCAGATTTGGTGCTTTTGTTCTCAGCTGCGGATTATCTGTAATTAGGCCTACATCTTTCCTTACTTTGTATAAAGCTAGAATCAAATTATTTTCTTTTTTTCCTAAAATTGATCAGCTAACTACAAGAAGCAATTTACTTACTTTATAACAAAGAGATATTTAGGTTAATAACTCACTCAGTCCACAAAGCTTAGCCCCTCTGCAGAAGGCAATAGATGAATAACTATTCAAGAAATTCCTGTTACATAACGGAACTCCTAGCTTCATTAGCGTATTCTCAAGAGCCAACCATTGGTCTTTATTCTGTGCCAGATTAATCTAATCCAGACCCCACTTTTTACATTTCTAACATGCATTTTCATAGTATCCTCGAATCTACATATAGTTCTTTCTAGTGGTCTCTTGTCTTCGCTGTTTCGTACCAAAAACCTGTGCGCACTACTCTTCTGTCCCATGCGTGCTACAAGCCTTGCCCTACTCATCTTAGGTTTTATAATTCTAATAATATTCTGCTAGTACACGTTATGAAGCTCTTCATTATGCAGTCTTCTCCTGCCTCTCATTTTTTCAGCCACTTAAATAGTATATATTTCTACTCAGCACCCTGTTATCAGACACCCTCAGTCTATGTTCCCGGCGTCTATGGAACCTCATGGTTCATTTCTATATTCACATTCTCCCACCATTTTTCGCTGTCAAGAACCAGTCAATGCAGTTCAACCACACTCCTTCCATTTCTTTAAGCCCCATTTTAATATTATCTTCCCAATTCCGTCTCGATCTTTCAAGTAGTTTTCCGAACATAATTGTGTCACTTTTTCCATTCGATACTACGTTACTTAACCATGCTAACAACACACAAATGTGATAAAGGATAAATTACGATGCATCTCATTCTGCAGTTGTGTGGAGGGTCCTGTCATTTGCTCCGTCCCAGGTTCACTTATTCTCTTCCTTACTTGGTTCCCAAATGTCATCAGTCTGTGTTCTTTCTTCAACACCAGACACCAACATCCACACCCATAGAAGTCAGGTATTTATAGAGTGTCCCTAAATGATTGAAACATTTTCGTGGATAAAATACGAGGAGACTATATATAACATATAACCGGTATCATCGGAAAGCCTAATTCTCAGAGATTTCAGAACTGGCTAAATATCTCAATATTACCTACTTTTACCTCCAGGTTCCGCAATTAACAGAAATGGCGTCTCCCAGAGAGAAGAGCTTTTGCGTAATGGAGTACAAGAAAGCAAATTCATGAACCAGTGTTCAGCGGACGTTCAGGAAACGATTTCGTATGGATCCACTTCCTCGAGCATCGATACAGACGTGGTGTGACAACTTTGAAAACTAGAGATGCATTTGTAGGAAGAAAAGCAGTGGCCGTCCTCGTGTGCGTGATGAGGCTGTGCGGTAGGTGGAAGTGCAAGGAAACCTGTGCGGGAGGGAAACCTGAGTTAGAGACTCTCGAAAACGACCGTGTGTCCAGTTATGCGCAGATGGGTGTGCATGAAACCTTACAGTGCCACGCTACCAAACTTTGGACTGGGAGAGCTGGAGTTGCAGATGAAGTGGCCTCCCCGCTCTCCCGATCTCACTTCATGTGACTTCTTTCTGTGGGGTTATGTAAAGGAACAAGTGTTTGTGCCACCTTTACCACTGGATATTGATGAATTGAAGCCGAGAATTACTGCAGCTGTCGAAACATTTGACAGGAACATGTTAGGAGAATGAGATGAGCTGGATTACAGACTGGACATTTGGAGAGTCACAAATGGAGCTCACATTGAGCACCTTCAGGGTGTCTAAAACTTTCGGAGTTTGTCGCTCAAATGGTACTAGTAGTAATACTTACCTTTGTATAACAAATTGAAATTGTATCAATCACCTGCTGAGACCCTGTACTGGTAATTTACTCTTCATGTTTTGAAAGAGGAAGATTGTGTTGAATGGAAATAGACATTCCCGGATATCAATCTGATCTCTCTTTCGTATGTGTGTGTGTGAATGAGAGAGGGGGGAGGAGAATATAATTGTTTTCTTGCAGCAGAGAAATACAACGACAACATCGACATGTGTGGTAGTGGCATCAAAATAACACGGTTCCGTTCTCTCAGTAAATTTTTGACGCTCGATGTCCAAAATTAGTATGCGAGTGACATGAGCCGTAACCGGTGGGATGTCTGCATACTTGCAGTATAACGCTGCGCAACTGTACTGCAAAGTACAAACATCCAAACGTGTCATTCGGTATTTCCCTCAAGAATGTTAACTTTTACACCCCTACTTTTTCACCTGGTACAGTGCTCTTCGATCATACGGTCGTCTGTGTTCTGATCGCAGAAGCTTTATAATTCCGTCACATGTGAGCTACCGACATTGCCCAGTGCATGCTGGTGTGAAGTAGCAGTTGCTTCTTACTGTACGTGTGTTGTTTTTAATAGGCGTAAACTCAATAGTGCTGGCAACTTCTTCACTGATCTGTCATCATCATCACTTCTAACTCCATCGAGTTGAGACTTTCTTGAGAACCTGCCAATTGTGCAGCCACTAAAGAATTTCCCAACATTTTATAGAACACGAAAGTTCATTACCGTGTTCACAAACACCTCCACTCATCCTTATCCTTCTCCTGAGCCAGATCAGTCCAGCACATATGAATCTATCCTGTCTCTTTTAAGATCCTTTTTAATATTATCGACACACCTACGTCTAAGCGGTCAATAAATCCATTCACCAATCCATACTCCATCTATAGTCACACACTTCTGAATCGTGACAGTTGTAGTAATTGAAACATGGACTACAACATTCAGTCAAGATTACAAAATTTCGTTGTATGAGTAATAGTAAAATTAACCCTGTGCTTAAGTAAGCAGAACGGTATGAGTCCATATGTGGCAGGGGATGTATAGTTCCACGTATTCATAACCTTCCTACTAGACGGAGACTAGTGATCAGCTTCGTGCTTCGGCCGCATTATATTCAGGGAAGGTTGAATAAGGTGCTGAATGGACGCCACTGAATAATGTGATGAAGAAATTTTGCCGCCCGCCATGTACTGTAGTCACTATATTGACCTACGAACGCCGGCTGTGACGCCATGTGACTGACACGGGAAAATAATAGCCGAAATGTAACAAGGAAGATTACAGCTATAAAAGTGTTGGGGCTCTTTCACAGAGATATTGTTATGTGGCATATAAAGCAGTCAGATTACAAATTCATCGCCACATATAGTAAAAAGTAAGCTTAAAATATTTCCCTCCACGATTTGTATCAGCAGCGAATGAAAATATATGCACCCTAAATTTGGGTGAACAATTCTGTATTTCTCTTCATTTTCGATCTTGATAATATACGATGGCTTCTTGGGGTGCGGTGAGACTGAGTCCACTTGGTGCGTCGGCCGCTGACGGGCCAATTGTACGAGCCCCAGATGACAGATGATGGTGAGTGTGGAGTAGTCGGTGGAATGAGAATTGGCAGGGTAACTCAAAGTAGTCTGAGAAAATCTGCCCCAGCTCCACTTCAACCTCCACAAATTCCACATGACCTGACTGAACTAGAACGCCGGCAAAATATGAGTTTTTTTCCTCATCGGGCGAGACTGGAATCCACTTGGTCCAACGTCGACCGTTTGACCTATTGTACCGGTTCCAGATGATGATGATGATGATTGCGGAGCAATCGGCGAAACACAAATTGGTAGGAGAAACCGAAGTATTCAGAAACCGTCTGCCCTCAGTGCAACTTTGTCCAACATGAGCTGACCCAGACTCGAACCAGGGAAGCCGCGGTAGGAAGCCGGCTACTAACAGCCTGAGTTATGGCAAGACATTTGACGCTTGATTTGCTTTTGTTCAGTTTGGTTCCAAATATCAAATAATTTGAGCAGTATACTGGGACTTAAAAAGCCCTAGAAATATATTATATGTTACGTAAAGTCATAAACAATATGGGTAAGTGTTGATGAGCTGATTAAATGGAGAACTGATACCAATCGTGTGTTTGGACTGGGTTCCGCAGTGTAGGTGAGTTATAGCCGGCGAGAACTAAAGACGCGTGAGGCACCACCAAATGCAGGTCTCTATGAAATGCTTTCTGTACTCTGGAAACTTCTAGCTGCTGAAAGGTGTTTGTGAATAATCGCCCTTCGTCGTTAAATGTTTAACGGCTCTGTAAACAGTGTTTATACAACTCGATACCTAGACTAAATTTCAATACAGTCGTTTGCGTTCACGTCTAGCAGTAGGATAATTTTAAGGCCACGCCATAGCTCAAGCGGTTAGTCGCTGGCTTCCTACCGCGGCGGCCCGGGTTCGATCCCGGGTCTGGCTAAGTGGGATTTGTGGTGGACAAAGTGGCGCTGGGACAGGTTTTCTCCGAGTACTTCGGTTTCCCCTGCCAATCTTCAGTCCACCAATTGCTCCAGAATCACCCTCACCTTCCATCTGGGGCTGGTACAATAGGCCAGAAGTGGCCGCAGTACAAGGTACTTAGTCCCACCCAAGTGACATTAAAAAGAGAGGATAATTTTAAATTTTAATACCAAAAAATATGTTGGAAAGTGTAACCGGATGTAGGGTACATGATTCAATAGTCATTACAATGTACAGTAATGATTTTTTCCTGGTACTACAGCCCCAGTGGGCCTAGGCCTACCTCCATGAACTTCTCCGTTCACTTCGGTTTTTCTAGATCTTACACATTCGGTAGGACTCCTTGGGCTGGTGATCAGCTCGTCGCAAGACCTCTACCTGTACACAAACACAGAAAAACTGACACACACAAACTAAACATCCATGCCTTGAGTGGGATTCGAACCCACGATCCCGGTTTCCAAGCGAGCGAAGACAGTACATGCATTAGACCGCTCGGCTACCGTCACCGGCCACAGTAATGATATTATTATGCACAAATTCTATTGAAGTTTTCCCTTCTGTAGTCACAGATTTGTGCATGAATATTAACATGAAGTGTTTCAGGTGTTCCACATACGTTAGGCTTCTAGCTAACGGTTGTCGGTTAACGTTTTCGTTAGGATTGGGGCCGCGCCATAGCTCAGGCGTTAGTCTCTGGACTCCCTCCGCGGCGGCCCCGTTTAGATCCCAGGTCAAGTCATGTGGGATTTGTGATGGACAAAGTGGCGCTGAGACAGGTTTTCTCCGAGTACCTGGGTTTCCCCTGGCAGTTCTCATTCCACCAACTGCTCCGCACCCGTCATCCGGGGTTGGTATAATAGGCCAATTAGTAACAGAAGTACGAAGTGGACTCAGTTTCAGCCCACCTCAAGAAACCACGGAATAAACAGGATTGGACAAAATCATATAATCACGGACCATATAATATATGTTCTTTACTTACGTGTTGTATGATAAGAGTTATAAACGGGTGGGACAATCAGGACGCAAGTACGAAATAGAACATGGAACGACCCGTTGTTGAACTACGGTTTTTGGACGCCAGTTAAAGAAGATGGAAAAAAAAATACTTTACTGGTTGCGAAATAGAGATTGTTTCAGTGAGCTCGCTGTAGTTTGATCAAAATTTTCTGTACTTTTACCAAGAAAGTAATACGAGCATAGAAGGGCTTTTATTTTATTCCCAAGAATATAAATCCCAAATAAAGGAAGAGTAAATATTATCTTTATGCATTCTTCTCAATTCATTTCACTTTCTTCATATTTCCGTCGAAAATGAATAATAAACACAGCTTTTGCAACATTGTTAACTAGCGTTATGGCACAGTATACTCGTACTTCCTCAGAACCTGATAACACTTCCCACTTTTTGTGAAGTCCGAAGGTTTAATGCTCGCACCTGGAAATAACTGAATCTAGTGAACAAATTCATGCTACAGTACTTCAGTCCTATAGGACCACGTTTTGCTAAAAATAAGAACTTCAGCCCCACTAATTGCCGTGTCAGGAGAAGGAACTTGAATTTCCAACACCACACAAAAAATATTTGTGCCATTAATTAAAATTATTAGACGGTTCAGTGCAATTATCGTTCTCATAAAAAAGGTTCCTAAGCTGCAATGCAGTATTATCCTCCAATCTTCAGCTTGGTCTCCCAAGTGAGAACTTCCCTAATTTACTAGGTTACGCAACAATGAAGGAATATCCGTAAACGTTCTCACGGCAAGGAATATAAGCATCAATAGAACTGCCATTTCTATACGACGGCCGGTAAACACTCCCCTTAAGAACGTGACAATATAGGGGAAGCTGTTTTCTGTGTGGTCCGCGCCAAGCAAACACATGGAACAGTAGGGATTCTCTTGCGAGGCAATGAAGATATAAACACGCAACCTTGTAGGCGTTTTCCGTGGAGTCCGTGCAGATGATTTAAAATTAATAGTTGAATAATTAGAAGTCGGCCTGTTAAGATTTTACGTGTAATTTAAAGACGTTATTTATATGTTATAATTACAGTAATCTTGGAAGTTTTATTGCTAACTGTAGTTGCTACCCGTAAGAGGTCAGTACATCTAATTACCAATCCCATCCCCGTCTTTAGTCTCTGATACACGTGACAATATTAAATTTAATTCTTTGTACTATTTTTATAGGCTGTCTAGATGAGATCAAGTGTGCGGCTGTTGTGAACATTATTGTAGCGAGAAGTGCGGCGGTCAACCGAGCAACCTTTTAAATATAACAAAAAGCTGCACCATGTACTTAGGTACATAATTAAGGTTTTTAAAAAAATAAACAAGTTTTACTTATACGATGTAACTGAAACTTCGGGCTCGTCATTGGCGACGTTTTTTACCCGACATAGCTTCCATAGGCTTGTAAGAGCCCGAACTATATCACTTCCCATTATTGGCATTAAAAAGAAAATGTATCTTGTACATGTTTATGGCTCTGGTATAATATTTACATAAAACTTTAGAGCCTATAAAGCTTCCCACACGAAGTATATAAACTCGCGTTTGTACCACAATGCGATATGCAAAGCTGAAGCAGCAATTCCTGGTACCCATTATCTTAGTGAATAAATGATATTTTTACTAACGTAACTGTCTGTGGACTTTAATGATGCCAGGGCTGAAATACACCCCTTGCTAGGTTAAACTGTATCTGT